TTTCTCTCCCCAAGCCAATCCCTCCTTTTTCTTTACAACCCTCCACCAAGTCGATCTCTCTTTCTCTCCCCCCTCCTGCAAGCCATCCCCCTTCTTTCTCCCCTCCTTTTCCCCTAACTTTGAGCCTGGCAGTGGTGGCAGTGCCTGGGAGGCCAAGCCAGTGCAGGCTCAGCCATAAAGCCACCCGCCACTTTCCGTCCCTCTTTGCTCCTGGCTTCCCAAAAGCGGAAAAGCCCACAAAGGCCTCGTCGCTAGGAAAGCCGTCGCTAAGGGCAGTCATGTGCTCAGAACTTTCCAAGAAGATAGAGGGAGGGGGAGAGAAAGCTCCTGTCATTGGTAAGTCCTTTCTCTGTGCATGAGTAGAAAAACTGTTGTACTTTGGGGGGGATTTAAATATCCCCTGTATCCTTTTTTAAAGTTTTTCGATTTTTCTGCACAGCTGGGGGGGTGCCCCAATTGTGTAGGATAATCTCTTTTCCCTCCATGTGCTCCCGATCTGCAGAAGTAAGTATCCGCACACAGGGGGCCATGTTGGGAATTAGATATATAGATTACCGCTGATGGTACTCTAACTGCTTCATTGCACTGTCACTAGCTGTGGTAGATGTCTCTTCTCATGATCTGGCAGAACCAAGTTACTATTCCTGCTTTTATTAGTTCCACAATGCTATATCTTTGCATAGCATTTTATAATAATTTACCTAATATTTAATGCAATTGTGAATTTTGAGCTTACTGAGAATTACAGAATCCACGTTTCATTAGTCAGTTGTACTTAGGTTGGCCATATAACTTTTATACAGTTGTAGTTGTTTAATACCTTATATAGTATGGAATTTTGGGCTATTATTTTTACCACCCGTAAGTGCCACCTCCCTGGTCTTTTGGCTAGGGCTAGCTTTTTAAGATTTATCCAGTCATAAAACTTCAAAGTGTGACTTTATTGTATGTCTGAAACAGAATCAGCAATGTGTACATTGTTGCACAATCCAGTTTTCATTTGAGTTCTCTGGCTGTTGAATTAATTTCATTTGAGGTCTCTCTGTGTGTGTCAGCAGCACAGGCTCTCCAACAGTACAATCTTGAGCTTCAGTCAAAGCCATTTCATTTCAATGAACTTAAACTGGAGTAACTTTGCATAGGATTGTACTGCAGCTTGCTTACAGTTAAGCTATTGTAACATAAAAATACAGATATGTTAAAGTAATGTAAAAACATTGCAGTTGACCACCCAAGATAAACTCCAGAAGAGCGGTGACAGTTAAAACAGAAACATCTTGCCTATGAAAGTTAGCAAGTGAGCAAACTTAGGCAGGTTACTTCACAACCAGCAACTGGTTGTTGTTGTTTTTTTTCCCTTTTTGGTATTTTTTTTAGTCTTCGTATGTGTGCGCATGAGTGTGTGTGCACCTGGAAGTCATGGAGACCTCTGGTGACTGACCCCTACTGGGAACCTGGAGGATGTTTAGAGAGGTAGCTGAATAAAGCCTGCCCCTACCTCCCAACTTCTGGTATTCCAAGGAGGTCTCCTATCCAGGTACTTGCCAGAGTTGACTCTGCTTAGCTTCTGAGATCTGGTGAGATCAGGTTTGCCTGGGCTATCCAGGTCAGGGTGCAACCAACAAGTGTTAATTGCTACTGTTGATAAGGTCCTTTCAACTACCTTCCTCACCTTGAAAGCAGGTAGGGCCATTCAGAGAAGGTTGCAAAGGGGTGGCCGTTAGTCTGTTTCTAGCAAAATAAAAGTCCTGTGGCCTCTTAAAGATGTCTTAGGCACCCAGAACAACATAAGGTCTCATTTCTTTAGCTATGTATGGGAATTAAACTGAGAGTCCTTCTTAGGAGCAGGTTATAAGGAGGGGGGAGAATATAGAGAGTTAATTCTGTCATAAGACTTTCAAGTGTAGATCCACTGGGAACGTGGGAAAAGGAGATAAAGAGGTATAGATCCAGTCATAAAGCTTCAAAGTGTGACTTTGTTGTATGTCTGAAACAGAATCAGCCATTTGTACTTTGTCGTACAAAATAGTTTTCATTTGAGTTCTCTGTCTGTTGAATTAATTCCATTTCAGTTCTCTATCTGTTGAATTAATTAAGAAGAAGGCCATTTCAGGGAGGTGGGGGTACTGTGGAAATGAGGTGGAAGTCATCCTTTGAAAAAAAAATGAGAGGTAGCACAACTGTACGCGATGATCAGCTTATTAATTGTAATAAATTATATAGCTGGTAAGTGGAGTGGGTAAGAAATCCCTGTGGTGAATTTACCATTTATTTAAAATATTTCTGGGTTGCTTTTCACTGCAATGTGGGCTTGGAACTGTTTGCAAGAATAAACCCTCAAACCACCTGTATCCTTCCAACAACTGATAATACCTTAAAGCAGTCATAAAGAACTGTACAAAACAGGCAGAAAGCCCTTCAGAATAAAACACTTTACAAGCTCTCCTGAGCACAAACCAGGCCACAGCAGTTCTTGCAGGAGTGACCACTGAAAAAAGCTATGGAGCAGCACCACCAACTGAGCCTCTTTAAGGGAAGGGACAGTATGGAGGAATTGGGGGAATGAATAAAGCAGGCAGACAGGCTTTTAAAGGAAGAGGTAATCTTCTGGTGTGTGGGTCTCAAACCGTGAAGGGCTGTAAAGATTAAAAACAGCCCCTTTACATTGAGCATGAAAACATATCAGTAGTCAATAAAATATTCTAAGTACTGGTATAATATGACAGAAATATTGTGCATTAGTTGGAAGGTGAACCACTGTATTTTGAAGGGTCTAGGTTTTCTAGGGCAGCCCCGTCTTGAGGACCCTGTTTTGGTAGAAAGGCGGCATGTAAATGTCTTAAATAAATATTGCAGTGATCCATTTTGAGGTTGCAGTGACATGGATCAGTGTGGCTAGATTAGCCAGGTCCAGGATTTATGTGCCAATGTTGTGAGCAGGATTTTTGGTTTATGTGCTTGACTGTTGGTGAAAACTCAGTGGGAGTATGGTATCAAACTTGTTTGTGTACATTCCTTCATCTTAGACATAGCTGATCCATAATAAATCAGACTATACTGTCCCCCTAAATGTCACATTGAACTTTCAAATTTCTGGGCACCAGCTTCACAAAGGTGACAGGTATAGCTACCTCTAAAAGTTGTTCAGCCTTAATATTGAGTTAGGTGCTGTGCAGGGAAAAAGCGGTTCCTGCTCACATGGGTAACTACCTAGATGGAAGGCAAAGTTTGCCCAAGAAGTAGTAAGGGCTGATTAAGAGAGGGCTAATGTGATATTCCAAGTGTGCCCCAAGACGGAGTGAGCTCCCGTCTCTAGTTCCAGCTCCTGCCAGCCTAGCAGTTCAAAAGCAAGAAATTGCAAGTAGATAAATAGGGACCACTTCGGTGGGAAGGTAACAGCGTTCCGTGCACCTTGGTGTTTAGTCATGCTGGCCACATGACCACGGAAACGTCTTCGGACAGCGCTGTCTCTTCGGCTTTGAAACAGAGATGAGCACCGCAACCCTAGAGTCAGATTCGACTGGCTTTCGAGCAAGGGAACCTTTACCTTTACCTTTTTTAATGTGATATTCATGCTCAGTTCACCTATACAGGTGTGTTGCCAGTGTGTTGGAAAGAACCCATGTACACTGTTGAATGCAAAGATCACAAACGCTGTCTGAGAGGTGCATGTGCTCTTCGTTGGGAAGTTGTGATAACTCAGTACAAATTCAGTTTCCCAATGAGTAACACTGAGTACTTGTGTAATTGCCATGCATGATGATGTCTACTGGTTTTTCCAACCTCTTTGTAGTGACATCTGAGTAGGCATGATTATGCATGTATGTTACAGCCTCATAGCCAGCAATAAAACAGGCTGGTGTACAGAGTTTCAAAACTTTCCTCTCCTGCTTATCCAATCTCTTTCTTCAAGGTTTTCCTAATGTGCCTATTATGTAACAGATCAGCTATGTAAGAAGTCTTCAGTTGCCAACAGAGAGATCTTTTGTGTGGATTTCGGTAACAGATCAGTTACTTGGTGCTGATAGTCAGATCTCTGCTATGTCATTCACTGTCAGGAAAGAAAGATGCCACTGTCTCTGCCGTTTTAAAATTCTGATGCCTTTTTCTAATATACATACTTAATGTCTGTTGGATGCATCCTTTTATGTATTTGGATGCTTAACAGCTGGCTGCTGACGTCAGCTCTGTTTGTGGATGGCATTTTTGTCATGAGTTAAAATGTTCAGAAACCTGCAGAAAGAGAGACTTAAATATGCAGCAGGCCGAAGTCCTGGCATCCAGTTAGGAGAAGCGCTCTGTTTCTTACATGTTGAAAGCAAAAGCTCTATTTTGATTACTTGAACAACCCAAAGCATGTATTCTAAACTGTTCTTAAATGTTTGTTGGAATATTTAAAGCATGGCTATTTCTGTTTTCCTGATCCCTGAAGGGAGGGTCATCTCTGTGTGCCTCTGGTTTTACCAGTAAATATACTGAAAAGACCACATCTGTGTTCCTGCATGGCCTCTGACCTAATCAGGAACATTCACACATTGCTGGATATTGTGCTACTGTTACACTATAGCAGTCATTTGCAACTGGATTGTGCTGTCCTCTGGAGAAATCCAGTTGCAAATAATTGCCATAGTGAAGTGATCAGTATCCAACAACCTGTGGATGTAGCCAGGCTTCAGGTATGGACTAAGTGAAGCTGGAATGCATCAACTTTTGATATTGATATGCAGAGAGAAATCCCATACAATGTTAAATGTATGAAGTGTTATCAAGCAATACGGAAAACTATCTGTTGGATATTATTTTATTCTAAAGGTGAATATATAAAACTCTGGTTTGATTCAGGGACTTCAGTGTACATCAGTTGTGGATCCATTTGTTGAAGTGGTGTGAGAGCTCCTCTTTCCCATACGTTGCATCTTAGTTACATCTCGGAATGTCTCTGTGTGTTCAGAAGTGTGCATGTGCCTGCTGACGTGTGCATAATTTGTATTTCATTTCAGGATATAACTTGGCAGGATGAACACTCAGCTCCTTTCTCCTGGGAAACCAAGGTAATCTTGCAAATCAGTTTTATTTCTCCTTGCTGTTGTTTCACCTGGGAATTTTGAATCCTGCTAATTGACAGAAACAGATTTCCACTCCATTTATTCTGGAGCCAGATTGTGCCACTATTGAGGTTTAGAAAGGATTCACAGTAGAGGGCAACTCTTTCCTGCCAGTTCCAGGATGGGAATATTGTGTGGGGCCACTAAGCACAGCTTCTTGCAATATTGTACCAATTGGATATTGACTTCTCAAAAGAGACACTTTAGAGGCTCCAGCTCTTAGTTCTGGGCAACAGTACCTTGTGCCATTGTGTCTGATACGGCCAGGATAGACTCCGTCAGAAGGACAGCTAGCTAACTAGGTTTTAGAAAAATGCATAGTATACCTCTTGCAGTTTCAACTGCTGTAGCATAGGGGCTAAGAGTATGAACGGTGGGTCAGCATAACACTGGTTCAGATTTCACCTCAGCCATGAACTCACTTACCAGCTAGCCTAGGCAGGCCTCAGTCCTGTCAGAATCAGGGGCAAGTTGCATATTAGGACATGTTCTGGGGTTCCATGCTTATTAACTTATTTATTTACTTACATCATTCTCCTCTCCTCGCCATTTGCCCCACTGGGTTTCAAGCTCTTTAGTTTCGTTTCACTGCTTGCCATAATATTGGGGGGGAGGGAATTCCTGAGGGGAGTGCATGGGGTGTTGAGAGTGGGTGCGTGTAGCAGCCATAACCATTTCTTCAAGCTGTGCCCCAACACCAGTTCCCATGGGCGCTGACCATGGAGACTCTTTTGCCATGCTAGAATAGATAAGGTGCCGTATATCTGTCAGGGTTGCCATAGTGACCTAGGGGCTGGATGATGACATGTGCGTGAGATGTGGGGTGTTCTGACACAGAGCAAGTTTCTAAAAGTAAGCATATCTCAATAAACTACCACTGCTTAAGTGTGTTGTGGAGAGTGTCTTAAACTGGGAGACCTGACATTGGGTAAAGTTCTGCATAGCCATCCATGCATGTAAATTCCCCACTGGGGCAAAGGGCAGGTATTTTAAGTGCCGCTGTCCTGAACCTAATCAGGCCATGCACACCTGGAAGTTACAGAATTCCTAAGTACATCTTTGGTCATGTCCAAATTGGCCCTGTTGCGCATCTGCAATATTGCTGTATCTTACTGGGCTATTCTCGGAATCAAAATTAACGAACATAAAGTGTTTTGAAGAAATAGTGATGATTCTTCCTTTTAAAGGCTGGCTTGTGGTAACAAGTGCCCAAAGCTGAGCGTCTTTCCCCTCTGTTTGTGGGAGGAGAAAATTTTCTGAATCAGCTCCTTCCGTAATGTAGTTGGGACTACTTCATTTCCTTTTGAGCAATGTGTATAAAGATCTGATGGTTGGAGGTTTTTTAATGGAAAGAAAAATAATACAGAGAGCTGAATGAAGGATTCTTTTTTGCTGTCATTCCTACAAAGCTTTCTTTCCAAATGGAAAGAAAACCTGTGGTTGGTTTATAAATAGTGTTGACGGGAGGCCCAGGTTTGCCAGCAAATAAAGACAAGCTTATTTCCATGGGTTTAGTTCTGGAAGAAGTCAGTGCCTGGATGGAAAAGATGTTCTGTTTGCGTCCCCATGTGCGTCTGCTAGGTAGATTGCCAGCCTGAATGAGTGTGTGTTTGAATTTCCTGAATCAAATTTCCTTTGCATTTCCTGAATCTGTGGGGTAAGGGGCAGGTGCAGCTCCTCTTCCTCTCCCAGTCCTGTTGTCTGTTCTCCTCCTCTGTCTGCTCTAAGGCAGGGCTTCAGGAGGGGCTGTTGGGCAGGGCAGGAATGATTGAGAGAAGCGATGGCTGTCTGCTCCGCCTGCCAGTTTTAAGTCCAAGGGTGCATTTTCCAGGTTGCACATTACCAGCCACATTTGTTTGGATGCTTCCATATAACATGGCTGTGGTTAAGCATCCAGCAAGTATGTATGGCAAAGAAAGCCTAACTAATAAAGCATTGGGTTGGATCCAGACTAAATTTTCCACTATTTCTGCCCATTTCCTGTCCTGCTGCAAACCCACACACAATTCTCAAGGCCCCCTGTCCTCCAGGAGCAGCATTCTGTGCAGATCAGTGAGCTGCAGTAAAAACAACTAACAGAAAATGTCTATTCTGCAGATGGAAAACTTAGTTTGGATTCAGCCCAACATTGGTCTTTTGGATTTCTGCAAATGCCCACTACCATCTTGGTAAGTGAGCCCAAGTGACCACTGGTACGCCCCTGAAGTTGAAGAAGGTGGTTTGCTAATTTAGGGAAATATGTGGACAGGTGGCCTAGAAAGTTTTGTAGATTTTTTTTAAAAGGTTGATCTGTAGCAAAACAATTGCAAATTTGTGCACAGCACATCCATTGTCATTGTTGGGAGAAGCTTGGGATACGTAGGTTTTGTTGTTGTTCAACAGAAGTTGCCTGCTACCAGCTGTTTGTACGTACCCTAATCCAGTTCCTCTAAGGTTAGTCACAGCAGTCTCTTTATCTCCTGTATTGTGCTGCATAACAGTAAGCATATGCTTAACTACTGCTTATATGCTTACTAGGAGCTTGTTTTAAATGTAGATAGATGTGCATAATAAGTGTGAAGATGATTTCATTAACACTCAAAGCAACACAAGTGCACTAGACATCTTTTGGTCAGGTTACTTTCCAGTAGTAATGGGGAATATTGCAGGTTGTCCTAAGGTTCAAATAGGGGCCCCAGTGTGGTGCCCCTGTGGGTGCCAGGGTACGGTGTAATATTTTTCTGATACCCACCAAGTATTTTTAGAAAGTGAGCAGGTCCAGGTGGTTTGTGCCCACCAGGGATTCTGATTGACCATTGGAGCTACGATCAGCTATGCAGACTAAAAGAGATCCTTTTAAACAGAGCTTCTGTCTCAAATGTCAGAGAGTTACTGTGAGAGTTATGCATAACCTTGCTCCCTGACACTTTGTGGTTGGCTCTGCCTCCTGCGGCAGCCTTTCCCCCCCTCTTTGCTGTACCCATCACCGTGTGTCAGAATTCCAAAGGTGACTGCAGGTTCAAAAGGTTTGGGAACCCCTGTGGTAGAGGTCGAAGCTGGTTGTGAGTCTAATTTGCCTTCTAGACAGGTTCTGTTGGGCAAACAAGTTACAAGGAGCAGAAGCAAGTAAGGCTTATCCCTTAGTGGCTTATCAGTTCCTGAAAGTTCTCCTCTAGAAAAACTAGGTGTTGACTGTGTGGGGTCATAGGATTAGGGGCTGTTAGCTATGGTGTGCTAGTGTACTTCAGGCAATGTCCTTATTGGGTACTCCAGAAGCTTTTGACTACTATCCATTTAATTCAAGTACAGCAACAAATCATAATACCAAAGCCAAAATGTGATTTAAACATGACGCTGGTGAGGCGAAAGAACTTGGCTGTGGGCCTCCGCCACCACATAGCATCTTGTTTAAACTGGGCTGCAGCCCCCTGTCACTACACCCGCAAGCCATACACCAGAAGCCAGCACTGGTCTATACATGCAGCAGAATTAGGTGGTAGATTGTGATGTACTGCTTCAGACTAAAGGGGCTCTGCTTATGTTCCCCATGTAATAGTTCTCTGTAGATTAAAAAATTAGCACGCCTAGGAGCGAGGTTCTAGCTGACCCATCACATTCTGTGCTAGTCTTGCACTTACAAGGAATTATTAATGATGAGGACCCTTGGAAAATGATACTTCCCGGTCAGCAGTCTGAATTGGTACAGTCCGTACTACCAGGGCTATTTTTGGGCAGGAACGCACAGGAACGGAGTTCTGGCTGGCTCCCAAGTTGGCCACGCCCAGCAGGAACTCTTTAGCATAATAGACCACACCCAACAGCAGAAACTCATTCGGATTGGCTACAATTAGGGGTGTGTGTTCCTAACATACAAAAAGGCCCTGGGTTTTGACAACAAACAAGGTAAAGAGAATAAGAAGCAAAAGGTGGGTGTGGCTGGATGACCACACTTCTGGTAACATGGGGGTGTGGCCTAATGTGCCAATGAGCTGTGCTGTCAGGGGTGTGGCCTAATATGCTAATGAGTTCCTGCTGTTGGGTATGGCCTATTATGCTAATGAGTTCCTGCTGGGCTTTTTCTACAAAAAGAGCCCTGCGTACTACTGCCTCATTCTGTTGCATGTGTAGACAAGGTGTTGCTTGAATGTGGCACTGGCTAAGGCTGCTTCCACACGATGGTAGGGCCCATGTTGCTGCTGTGAATGCAGAGGCATTTGACATGGCCGTGGAACTGCCACTTGGTGGGTTTACCTGCTATGAGAGGACTTGGGGAGGGGAGGTCCTTAACTGGTAAAAACCCTTTGGCGGCATGGGAGGTGGGGGACTGGAGCAGGGGAAATGGCACCAATATGGGAAGGACAAGAAAAGGTCTGTACTTTTTTATTGGCATGGCATCCCCCCTGCTTTGACTGCGATCTTTCCCAAATCTCATAATAAAGTAGATGTAGGGAAGGTTACAGAAAAGCCAAGAAAAACCTGGGAAAATGCATGAATGGGCAATGAATGGGCTAGTGCTGAAGTGACCAAAGTCAGAAGCAGCTTCATGTTTATTTTCAGCGCTACTTTATCCTCTCAGTTTTGTCTGAAGAGGCAGCATCTTGATTTGTTGTCAGAAAGATGTATTTTTATTTTAGGGATCTTTTTAGAAACAAATGAAGGGTTCTCTGCTGACTTAGTGTTTTCTTTACTTTGCTCATACCTCGATGGTTGTGTAATAGTCTGGAACGTAATGTCTGTTCAGATTCAGTCAGCCAAAGGTTCTTATTTTCTGTCACTGAAGTGAGCTGGTCTTTGGCTTCTTGATATATGCCCATATATATATATGGCATAATAAATATAAAGCATAATATATTTGTTTGACTAATTGTCATTCTACAAGTTTTGTTTCAATATCTTACAGGTTTGTCCTTTTCTGTTTTGTTTAGGAGTTGCCAAGACAAACAGCTTGTTTTGGTTCTGCATGCTAT